TCCCGGATGCCGCCGTGTCGTTTCCAGCGTGGCGTGTCGCTGCTTTTATTGTCGGAGAGGCCAATCGCGTGAAGCGTGCCAAGAAAGGATCTCCCCTTCGGTCTCGGGGTTACAAAACTCCCTTTCGTGGCATGAAAGGTTGCCCAGGCCCAACAATCGGCCGCCTTGGATCTGCAAGACGAGTTACGGGCCGCCGCGAGTTTGCTGAGCAATCACCCGCGAGTGGTTGCAGAGAACACATACTCGGAACAAATGCAAATTCGCAACTCACAATTCGGCCGATATTGGACCACTTGGAAGGGCCAGCAGGGTGATTTGTGTTTCCAAATACTTTCATGATTATGACGTACGTTCGCAAGGACAAGGCCGAAAACCTGCCCGTCGTTGGTTGATTGGGTGGCCGAGGCAACCCAGTGGAACGCCTCGGACTGGCGTTTTTCTCCCTTTGGGAATGCATTGCGATGGTTCTTGCGACGGACTCTTGGGTAGACTTCCGCGTGCCTCCGGCGAGGATCAACGCGGGCCGGCGTGCGAGAGCGAGAGCGGGAGCGAGAGCGAGGGCGAGGCCGAGGGCGAGATCGAGATTTGTCGTGATTTGTCGAGATTTGTCCAAGGGAGACATCGGGCAACGTAGCACCAGTAGCGTATGTCTAGGCATTCAGGGTAAAATTGCACGGGAAAAATTGTTTCGAGACAGTTGAAAGAAAAGTGGTAAGAGCACGCCTGTCGACGGTTGCGCAAAGTAATACTACAGTCATGGCAAGCCAACGCTTGCTGAGTCAAATCTCCTCTGGCTGCTAAGGTAGCGCTGGCCCCCGCGCCTATATGTTTTGCCCGAGAGTCGTCCAGACGTCCATTCTCAGTGCACACGTCAGATGCTTGAGCGTATCGCCAAGAGAGATGTGCTTCGCAGCGCGGTGCCGGCCAAAGACGCATTCCATTGGTGGTTTTCCCGAGAAGAAGGATTGAGTGTTCGACGCTCCACACCACCCCGCCTAACCCAGTAGTCGTTGGCTAGTCCTGCAAGGGATGGCGACACCCGGTGCATTCGAGGGACGCCATTAAACGCCCGTGGACACCAGTGGTGCAGTCAACCAGTGGGGACCGAGGCATGGGCCCTTCGGCCGCCGTTTTTGATTGCAACAGCACAGGAATCATTGTGTCCCGGTACAGCGGTGCTCCTACTGTGCTGCTGATTTGCTCGCTCCTTCAGACCCCCTGGACGATAGTCGTTGAGGATCACAGATGACGGATCTGGCTCCATGGTCGATCGGTCGACGTGGACACAGATCACTCGTCCGAGTATACACGGGACTACGAGGTCTGTACTTACGAGTAGTCGCGCTGGATAGAGGTGTGCCGAAGTCATCAACGATCGTCCGTTAGCCGCTCGCAGTCTGCCATTTCCCCTAGGCTCCTCGCACCTAGGGCGCATTCCCAAAGGGGAGATTCGCCCTACGGCGAGGCCTGGACCAAAGGAGATCCACACGAGAGCGAGGTATGGAGTATTCGTATGCGGATCGCGCTGCAATTCAAACGAGTACTGGGTTCCGGGTACTAGTGACAGTACGAGGTCGTCTCCAACTTCAGCAAAACAGGAAGTGGGCTAATCGTTGGTCAATGGTTACTGGAAGGCTTGCTCCTGGGGGTGGTGGTGGCCCTAGGCCGTTCTCCGTGGCCCCAAGCCAAAGCCAAAGCCAAAGCCAAAGCCAAAGGGCCAGGGCCAGGGCCAGGGCCAGGGTCCAATCCCAATCCCAAGCATCTGGGACGACGAGATTACAAGACGCCCCCCACCCTGGCACCCCGGCAAATGCCCTACCACAGTGACTGGCTACACGTGACTTTCCCGGGACCTGTCCGTTGTCAATCAAAAAAGGAAGGCCCCGCAATAGCCCACGAAAGCACAGGACTGGGTAGCGCGGTGGCTCCCTGCGCCGCATCCGCCGCTTGGCCCTGGACGTTGTTTCGCGCAAGCTGGCCCCCCTCGTACCCTGCAGCAGAGCGAGTGTGTCTGCTGTGTGGCCGGCGGCGTTAAACCTCCTCCAGCCAGGCGGCATGCGGACTAAAGTAGCCTCGTGCACTTTGTGACAAATTGCGCTTGAACGACGTGCGTGGACACGCAACCAAGCTGTTCCAAACGGGCGCATACTAATTAGTTCAAGGCCCGTTTACTACACAACACCCCCGTTGGGGCCGGAGATTTTACCAATGGTCCAGGAGATAGGGACACATGCCTTGAAGGGCCTAGTGTCGTCGAGTCATTCTGTCGTGTGGCTCCAGTTATGAAGCACCACCAGCCGTCACGGCCTCCCTCCGATGACGTTGACGCCTCTGTGCTGGGAACAGTACGGGTACTCGTACCCTCATGTAGAGGATAATGTTCCCGAAACCGAGACCGACCGACCGACCGACCGACAGACACGTACATACTGTACGGAGTGCATCGCGATCGCTGTTTCGTCTATGAGTCTTGCCGCCATGGCATTGTGCCTACAGTACGGAGTAGGTATGGAACCTGTTCTCTCGGCCATATTAGAAATTGGGATTGATCATCCCAATAATGGAACTCGTAATCCGAACAATACTGTAATTAATGCCTCGCCCTTGTCCTTGAGCTCTCGCCCTGCATACGAGTTGCGCGCCCTATGGGCAGGAGATCTGGAAGTATCTGTCTGACAGCTTGTAGCTTGCAGCCTGCAGCCTGCAACGTGCCCTGCGCTGCCCGTAGCTCGGTCCTCAGAAGCCGACGGCATACCTCTGCTTTGCACGATTACTCTGGTTACAGTACACGTGCCGAGGCAGTGTACTATTGAAGTACTGAGCACTCCCTACTCCTACTGTATGCAAGTACCCGTGATTCCAGAAATAGCCCCCGAAACCGGAACAAATTGATACCGTGAACGATGGGTAATCAGTGGTCCCGCCCTGTCAGAATGGTACCGTATGGTGGGGGTCTAGCACAGAAACAGCCCTAGCCTTGTAATGATTGCCAGAATCGGCCGCGGGCTGGGGAGGAGGGACACATTAGCCGGCCTGTGTGCCGGCCAATCGTCGAGGACGTACTTGTGTACTCTGTACCGTGTGCCTACAGTAGGAGAGCAACCAGCATGTAAAGGTGCCCCCGGAGTCTAGCCTAGCCTTGCGCCGCGCGATACGCATTGACCGCTTACGGCCATTGCGTTCCTAATTATGTAGGGCAGAGCGTCTCGATTGCTTGATTAGAGCCTCGTGCGACACTGATGCAGATGTTTAGTCATGGGCCCCGGTCAGATGTGGAAAGAGGTCGCTCTGCCGCGACTGGGTTGGAAATACGGAGTACCACCTGCTCATTCAGGCCGGAACAGTCCCCGTCAGTTGAGCGTAGATGCAGAATCCGGAAGCACGTTCATGGAAGACGCGACCAGTTCCAATACTGGGCGAACCTGCAGAGACCCTTCTCAGGTGATCCATTCGCCCCAGTGATACGCGCACGTATGCACGCAAACAATCGTACAGCCAGCCTTATGAGGCATTTACGGGCATTTGTATACGGCACAGAGACAGTACTGGCGTTGGCAAGTATGTAATCTCCATGACTGCCGAACCAGGCGGAGATAGGCAAAACGAAACAGCATGGTGTAGTCTCTTCTTCGCTGGTAGAGTGTCTGGGCCGGAGTGCCAGGACGATAACTCCGTAGAGCGACGGCTTTCATGTCCAGCAAGACCTAAAGCGCTCTGAGAACGTCGCAACGTTCGATGCCAGAAGACGCTGCAATACCGGAACGAACGACGTCAGGCCCGTCGCAAATAGCCGTAGACGTAGATGTAGACGTAGGGCTGTGCCAAGTGCAGCATGTCAGCCTATTGGCTCCCGCTAAGAGTTGCCGTTCCCGGTAGCGAGCAGCGAGGGCGTTGGGCGTTCATGGCGTTGCAAGAGGCTGAAGTTACATGCATACACACAGCGTAGCCAGGCCTGCTCACCGCAACGACATTCCACGCGTGCAGAGGACTCGAAGCAGTCATATCGGCAAACCAGCGCATTGCGACAAATCTCAGCTCGTCCCTTTGCGGACATGTCCTCTGTCCTTTTGCTCGGGAGCGTCGAGGAGTGGACACACAGAGGATGACCTTACTCAGCCACGGAGCGGCCACCCGGCACTGACGATGGTGGTCGCTTCGCCAGCCCTATTGGTGATTGGGAAGGGCCCTTTCGCAATTCCCATGACAAAGGGAGCATGACCAACCCGTCACCGCTGCCAAAGTGTCCAGATGGTAGGGTCCCAGCAGACATGATCGTGCGGCTTATTGAGCTCGTGTTTGCTTGCACACCATAGGAAAAGGCCGGTGGAGGAGTTACGGGCCTTGACTGCAGAAACGTTCGACTTTGGGACAAGGTGACGACGAGTCACTGCTTCTCTTCATGTTTTGCCCCCCCAACCCTTCTCCCAAAACGACAGGCTCACCTCCCTCTTGTCTCGGCAGGAGACGCACGAGCGCCCGCGGCAACCCCACCGTGTTCGTGCGGATTGCTCGCCACCGTGGGAGCCAGTTCTGGGAGCTCTGGGGAGGAGGTAGCAACAATGGAAATGATGCGCAAGCGGAAACCTCCTCGTTGGGAACCGAAGAAGCTGCTCCTTGTCAGCCGCGACAGGCCACTCAATCGAGCCAGCCAGCCCACCTTCTGATCATGATGCTGACCCCCTTGATGTCGCTCAAGTCCAGGCTTTTGGGATCGTCGCACCGCTTGCCACGGAAGGTGGGTTTAAAGTGGTCCCAGGGCACGAAGAACGTAGATGTGCCAGAGGGGCGACGAGCGACCGTGGGATCCAGGTCGACACCTCGACACGGTGAAGTTGAATTCCCAAGAGATTGTGGACCGCTCACGGCCGGTATCGGGATCGCGAGGTAGGATCTCGTCCTGGAGGATCAGCGTGTAGAGCTTTCCGTCGGACTGTGACGGGTCGATCGAGACCTCGAGTCCTGAGAAGCGAGACAAGTGCCAGTGTCGATCTGGGCAGGCGTCACGCTGGGAGGCGAACCCAGCGCCGCCGAGAGATTCGATGTCGAGGGTGCCACCGAAGCAGACGCCCGTGCCACTGCTCTCCAGACAGGACTGAATGCACTCGAATCAGCGTGTGTCCTTCGACTCGTATGTAATTAACCCTTCAAATCCCGCAAGCCGCAAAAAGTACGAGTGGCCACTTCACACCGACGGAGTCGTCGAGGCTGCCGTACGTACCTGGGACTGACCGCCGCGAACAATGTCGTCGCTCGAGGTCCATTGATTGCAGCGCCAGCCCCTACGCCATGGGACTTAGCACGTAACTCCAGCATTGCGCCACGCCCGCAGGCCCGGCCAATGACCCAGGGCGGTCAAGTGGCCATGGCCGTGGCCGTGGCCGTGGAATCTGAGAGGATCGAAAATAAACCACCGCTTACGTATTCAGCCCATACAGCACCTGACGCTGCTTAAGCTGGTCCATGGCCCGTGACTGCGACGTGAAAGACGCCAACGCCATCCGGCAAATGAACCGGCAGGATTCGAGCCTGCGTCGGTCCCTGTAACAGCCCTAATTCTAGATGCTCTATCGCGCCGTGTCCTTCAGGGGCAGCACAGGATCCTTTGCCGCCTGTTGACATGTCATCAAACCCTTTCGGGGAGCAGGCTGCCACGAGTTCGAACACCGCGTGCAGACAACTCGATCCCCCCTCGACCGATTCGGCAACCTTGGGTTGTGTGGTGGTCGCCGACTTTGCTTTGCAGAGAGGAATTTCGGCGCAAGGGTCCAGTTGCATGCGGCTAAACCACATGGGGAGACGACGACGACCTGGCCCTGTGGTGGCGGCCGGTCCTCTGGCCTTCCATTCCACACTGCTCCCCCGTCCAAGCTAACAGGTCGCCCTCGGTCACCTGCCGCATTCAGCTGGCAGGGCTGAAAGCCCCCTCGACATCGGGCGTCACGCCTGCTACAGTATCTACACCGGCACCGGCACGACCTCAGTGCTTGAGCGGAAGATAGGGCCACAATTCAAGAGGACTTCAGACAGATGTTTGGTCACACGCTTTAAGCGCCTTTTCCTTGCTAGGCTGCTACAAACTAGTCCTTGTACACAGTAGTCGGGAAAGTTCTCCACCTCCGGACCCCAACATCGCCGGCGACGCGGGCGCCATGTCACCGCCCTCTCCGTCTGTTTGCGCTGCTAAAACTACAGGTGGTGTGTGTGCCAAACAGCAACGAACTGGCTTTTTTGGCAGTTTCGGGCCACTCCTTGCTGGCCCGTCAAAGAGCCTTCCCTGCGACCGGGGTGCCTCCCATTATTTGGCGCTTGGCCAGTGGTATATCGTAAAAATAAACAGTAATAATGCCACCCTCGCTGGACATGACCAAAACGCCGTCGGGTAATAGCTCAGACATGCTGAGCCTCCCATGCAATTGCTCTGCGGCGCCAGAGTAGCAAGAATGAGTGACGGAGCTTTCCAATCAGAACATCATTCCCAACAACGATCGGAGATCAGCTGCAGGCGATGTCGAATAAATGAATGTTCGGGCTCGCCGTCCTCGACACCGGCGTGAGCGGGACGTCGAAGTAGCTGGGCGAGTTGCGTGCCGAATCCATCGAGTATGCGTCTGTGAGCGGTGGTGTCTAACCAGAGGAAGTCAGCATTTGAGCTGGAAATGTGGTCATTGGAGCCGATGCTTGGGATTGAGCCGCCAGAGGTCTTCTCGTGCTGCTCAGATGTGTGGACTGGAATATGAACGGGAGAAGAAAGTGGCGGGATTTACATGAGAACTGGCCCCTGAATACGCTTGATTCGAGGGCATTTCAAGGCCGGCCAGGGAAGCATAGTTCATGCTGAATGGACTCAGCATGTCGTCATCGCCGAACAGGTGATCCTGCTTCCCGTAGACAGTGGGGAGCATCGCCGGGAGTGTGGGCGGCAGACTCGAGGACGAGACTTCGGCGGGATAAGGATAACTCGAGAAGTAGCTGTTGGTGCTCTCGTACGTGGGGTGCTGTTGGTGCTCGAACTGGAGATATGCCGTTGTGGGGGGATATGAAGAGAAAGTGAATGCGGGCTGTGAGTGCATGGAGAGGTGGCGCCCGGCTGGTGTATCAAAAAGCGAGGAATGGTCGTCTAAAGGCAGGATCTCAGGCGATGCTCTCGAGATGTCGCGTGAGGCGCCAGACCTCGACGGTTGGCGAGCCATAGCCTGGGATTGCTTTTGCGAGATTTCCTTGGCCGGTGTCGAGGCCAGTTCTGAGTGTTGTTGTTCGGGAGAGGCAGACGACGATCCAGCGCGACGTTCCAAGTCCTCGAGTCTTCTCTTCAGCTTCTTGCGGTAATTTCGCTAACCATCACATTAAAACCTGCCTGCCGAGCACGGATAGGAAGGGGACGTACCTGAGCAATGCGATTCTGGATCCGACGTCTCTCGGCCAAGTCTGAGATCTTTGTCCAGTCTTCATTGGGGTTGGCCGACGCACTGAAGGCGGAGCTGCTGGCGTGTGTCGAAGCATAGCGTGAGTGACCAGCCATGGTGGGCTGGGGGTAGGAGTAACTTTGACTCCGGTGCATGGTGGTCAACGAGGTTGAGAGGCGGGGTAGACGTTGAGCGAAGTAAGTGATAGCTGGTACGTACACGTCGACCTTGATGTTGTGAGGAAGGACGAAGAGGAGCGGAAGGAATGGTGAGGGTGTGGTTGAATACTTAAAGATCCGATCAGGGAAGAGTGTAGTCAATCATATATCCCCAGGACAATGGCATGGGACGCCCCAAACGAGGTCCCTTGCTATAACATAAATTACGGCTTTCCCCAGGAGAGCATAGCGGTGGCAGCACGGGAGAGGTCACAAAAGTTCAACCGTGGGTGTGTGTGTGTGTGTCTCCACCTCTTGAGCGTCTGAAGCCACATGTGCCCGATAGCAGCAGGGACTTCCCTTCGAATCAATTACCTGTTACCTCTGTCTGCGAGGTAACCATGTAGCTCCAGCCAGGCGGCGACGCGGGAGTGACAGGGGAGCATGCACGGCGAGGGATGAGCAGGGAATGTCTGTCACCGCTCCCGGTAGTGGCTCGACGGGCAGGGGTGGCTGCGGCGGTCCTGATCCACTTGGTTGGAAGAGGAGCTGAAGAGCGAGACTGCGGCGAGTGACGGCCGGAGAGAGGGGACGGAAATAACTTCGGGAACATGGTGCAACGTCGTAAGGCGCTGCGCCCCTGCTACCGGCCTAACTGGAAGCACGTTAGGCGCTTGCTGCTCTGAGATCTCGCTGCCCTGAATGTCGGTGAAGTCCAGCGTCAAAACGGCCACTCGAAGGCTCCCGACATTGTCCGCCCGCCGCTGCGCAGTTGCCCATCGTGGGCGGACCCACACGCCCGAGCGGCTCCTTTGGGCGTTGGTGGTGGTGCCCTGCGGTCGAGCACAGGGATGCCCAAGAACGAGAATACGCACGCCCAACACGCATAACACCGCCGCACCACCTACCTACCAGCACCCAGTATGCTACCTGCTTCAGATTTGAGGTATGACTTGCCCCGTACTTCGTACTGTCCTGTCGCGAACCCCTTCGATCTCGTGTTGGTTGCGTTCATCCTCTCGGCCCTATTGGGACCGTGTGGTGCTCTCCCGCTCATATTCCGCTTGCGTTCTTCAATTTGTGCTCGTTCCAATTCCTGGTTTGGGTAGCCCCTGCTGCCAGCCCTAGTGGCTTCACCACGCCCTGCAACTCTTCCCTTTCCGGAGCCTCGATTCATTCGCCTAAGTTAAGTGCCCGAGGGCCCGCTGTCCTTACTAAAGAACGAGCTTGGCGCATCAATTCGGCATTATCCCTCTTGAAATCTTGCGTCGATCCATAGCACCTACCAAAGTGGACTTCCGATTTGCTTCCCGAATACCATCGGCAGAGCCTGATGATCGGTCGGGCTATTCCATAATCACCCCGTTCCCATACCTGCTTGCTGGCTTGCTGCTATGGTGCCTGGCCGGTGTTTCAGCCCCCAGACTGCATCCCCCTAACATCATACAGAGCGTCGACGGCAGCTTTCCACATGTCTGCCACATCCGCGGCTATCCGACTACAGTTGCCGTAGGGCTCGAGCAATAATGCTTTCAGGCCGCAATCACCTCACGAAGCTTCTGTAGGGCACCTGCCACTTTGAGCCTTTCCCGATCTCCCGAGCATCTTTGCCCGTTGCTGTTCTACACTGTGTACACGGCCGCTGATGTGCGTGGCTAATGCCGCCGCACCCGCTCTCTCTATGCAAATGGTTGTGAATGCAGTCGCAGTTGAGCCATTATTCACTGCACAATTAATCACCCGGCGGCTTCGACCAGAGTCCGGAGCCAGCAGAGCTTCCGTCCATGTGACCGCATACGTCGTCCTTGCGCCGATTGAATTGATTGATGCGTAATAGGACTCTGTACTGTGGTAGATTGCGTGGCTTTTGCCTGCCAAATTCATCTCCGCCTGCAGTCTTTTGCCGATGACGTGTGATTGGCTGACTGTGGCTGCGCGTGGCTGCCTCACAGTCCCCTCACATCAGGCCATCCCGGGTGACGCTTCTTTCTCATGACATGGCCAGCAACATGATTTCTTGCCAGTCTTGATAGGTGATCGTGCACCGCCGAGAGCTGCGGATTCGCAGAGGTATCCTCCCTTACGAACGACCTTGTGGCAGACGGCGCCGAACACGCAACTGCCAAATATAGCCGCGGATAGACCGCGCCAGCCACAGCAGTTTCATCTTATTTCGGGATGGCTGCAACACTTAGCTGTGTACTATGTTGGGGTACAAGGCCTCGGGGAACTCTGCCGCTATAGCACTGCTCCGATACGCCTCACGAGACGACTATACCTCAGTTCGGGACTGCAGCGGCCCTTCAAGATATGCTATGACGGCTTTGTAACTACGGCCGCGGCTAGGAGCGATTGTTCAGATGCGTCGATCAGTAAGAGATGGTGAGCAGGACGATAATGCGGCCGCACACGCTCCTCTGCCCGGTTGGGCAAAGGCACGCTGCTTCTTGACCAACTGAGTGGAGTATCCTCGTCGTTGCCGTTCTCTTTCGGCCACGCGTACTGTGTACTGACCTGCCACATGAAGCCAGGCCGGCAACTGTCCATAGCGTACGAGTACCGTAGGAGTAGCCGAAACCCTCACCAGCCGGATCCGCTCAAGAACTCCTCTTGCTGAATCAAGCAATCAGCAACCCCAAGGCAGTGGTTAGGTAAACGACCCATGGTGGATGTTGATTATCCCTTACGGGCTCGGGGCTG